CAGTATGGTGTCGGATGGATGCATTCCATTTAGTCAAAGGACAGTTCTCAGCCCTCCCTTTCAAGGACATCGTGGGTACGGCCAATAGTTATAAAGATCATCGTAACAAAAAATCGCCCTTATTTCTACGACACCTGATGCTCTTTTCCCAAAGTGGACTGATCTTGTAAGCACTGAGTAATGTATAAGGTTATCGAACCAGTATGTTGTACCCCTGAAACTCATATAACATTGCATGGCAGTTAGACTTCAAAAATAAGGAAACAGTAAAATAAAATGAATTGTAAAGTATTTTCACAGCATAATCACCTTTTCTCTTGACTGAGCAGAAATGTGGAATTGCTACGGAAACAATCCTCCTGGTAGTGTTAGACAACTTAAGTTCAGAGTTAGCACCACCATTTATGAGCTGTGTGACCCTGGGAAAGTCATTTCTCATTGATTCTAGCTATTTCCTTTTTTTTTTTCTTAACAAAATGGAGACACTCATTCCTGTCTCATCCATATTCTGCCATCATGAAGACTGAAGCTGTTTATGAAGAATATTTGTAGAGTGCAGCACCTCATCGTGGGCCCTGGAGTCTTTAGGTTTGGTTCCTAGTCCACTGTTATCTTTATATCATAGGCCAGTTAATTAATCACCCTAGCCCACATTTTTCCTACCTATAAAATGGAAATATGTTTAAGTGTCTCTATTATTGAGTTGCTGTGAGGTAATAATGCAAAAGAATTTAACACAATGCCAGTTCCATAGAAAAGGGTTGGTAGAGATTATTATTTATAAAGAGCTGGATACACATAATGGCTTCATATTTCCAGTCATGACCTATATCCCATATGGAAAAAGAGAATTCTTAATTCACATAGGAATTAGGTATACCGAGACGTTAAATGGCACATATGAAGTCATATTTAATCACAAGACCTGTTTCCTTGTCCTCTTGAGACTTGGACATATTTACCTGAGTAACATTAATAGAATTAATAATGTGGTTAGTCCTAACAGAGATGTGCTGTGAATGTCACATACTCATCAGATTTCAAAGACTTAGTGCAAAAATAATAATAATAATAATAAAAATAATAAAAATAAAGGAAAGTCTCTTGTTAATATTGATTACATATTGAAATAATAATATTTGGGGTTTATTGGTTTAAATGAAGTATAATATAAAAATTAATTTCACCAATTTCCTTATGCTTTGAAAAATGTGGTTATAAGAAAATTTAAATGACATGTGTAGTTGACATCACATTTCTATTGGACAATGCTGGCATAAAGAAAAGGTTTAGGTTATTATCTCCTAAGAAATCTGGTTATTTGTAGGGAAAAAAATCTTGAATGATTCTGCATTTATGAGATTTTTTTTTAATGTATGGAGAAGTTAGAGAAGAGAGATTGTGTGAAAGATACCAGACTGTGCCATAACAGATAGATTTAAGGACATATTGGAGGCTGAATGATAGCAGAAAAATGACTATCCAGTAGCAATTTTTTTTATTGTACTAGTATGTAATGCAATCTATGACTAATGGTGGAATTATTCCAAGTAGTACAAAAACAAAACAAGATTGACTTTTCCTATGAGTTTACTCTCTTATTAAATTTAATATATAACAATGCTAAGAAAAATGGTCTTTGAAGCATACTTAAGAGCAAAGAGATCCAGTAGAATTTATAGAGTAGAGTAACGAGGTAAAATACCTGACACAAAGTAAAGAGTAAATACTTAAGAATTCACTATTTTTATGAATAATAATATTATTATTCCTCAGTAATTAAGCAATGTTTTCTGGACTTCTTGATTCATCCGTTCATTCATTTAATTCGCTCACCCAGCAGATATGTTAGATGTTGATGGTGATTAGGAGAAGGATGAAATCAAAGCCATCGACCCATTTTCAGGGATGTTGGGGAGATTTGAAGGTGATTTAACATGAATTTAACACAATAGAAAATTAATTCAGAAAAGAAACAAGAGCATATGTCAAAATAGCCAGTGTTATCTTGTTTCCTTTCCAAATGCCTTTCATTTACCCACACAAATTGATAAGACTCTATCTAAAACTAGATACAACTTAAACCTCTGGCCAGGTGTTCTGTGCGTGTGTGTGTGCGTGTGTGTGTGCGTGTGTGTGCATGTTTAAAAAAAAACATTTCAATTTGGACATACCTCCTACAGGAATTCAAATACAAAATGAGCTGTAGAGAATACCATACATAAATTCTGCGCATGAAGTAGGCAGTTAGGCAGGTAAACAGGCTTGGAGGATTGGATGCTATAAATCTCCTCCTATGAGATGATAGGGCCCCTCCTCTTCATTCCCCAGAAGCTTTGACCTTTGCCACGAATACAGTCCTGACCCTGCCACCTCCCAGGACGTGGAAGTCATCAAGGGCACCCACCTGCACTTTTGGTAATAACTTCTCTTTAAATGGAAGTGATCTTTCCTTTGCGCATTTTGGGTCGGGATGAGTGCACATTCAATTGGCTTTTTATGACCTCTTTTCAAAAAACCTTTAATATTTCAGTTATATATGATAGAACTTTTTATTTGCCTTTTCTCTCTTCCAGCTCTCTCTCCTGCAGCCATACGGTGTTTGAAGGTGGGTGTGGTTTAGTGGGGTTGTTGGGGAGATTCACCGACACCAGCCAGCATTAAAGAGAGCATGCTCCATTCTGATAGGTAATTTCAGAAACAGCATTGTTTCTTATAGATGTCACGAGCATGGCCAACTCTGCTTTATGGGTAAAGAAATAAAATTGTTAAATGTAATTTAAAGTGCCTTTCCTAAAGCCAAAGTGGGCTAATCAATCATTGCGTGTGTGCACGCACACACGCATGCATGCTTACCACCCTGTTTGAATTTTAGGATGCATAATGAACTAGATAAGTCATCTGGTGAGCAAGCAACAGATTCTGTGCTCCTGTTCATGCAAAGTCTTTTATTCTAGGGTAAAAATTGTCTAAAGGGGGTAAGGTTTAATTATTTGTTTTTCCAAAATTCTCATTAGTTTCGATTTTTAACCTCGAGTTGCTTTCAAGGGAAAACGATTCCCCCTTTGATACAAAGTTGTGTGTTACCAAAAATATGGGTCTTTGGGCAGAAAGAGGCAAGCAAACAAAAAAAGAGGAAATGTAATAGCAAATGTATTTTGAATTAGAACATTGGAAGGAAAATAATAATCATTGTGGCTGATAGACATCAAGTTCAAGGATCTATGTTCTATGTTCAAGCATGTATTTTTAGCCACCTTGATATCTGAACGGGCAGCCATCATTAAAAAATTTGCTCAGACTGCAATATGAACTTTGGATCAAGGTATCAGGAACACCACCGGGTTTCAGAAAGGCTGCCCCCAAGATCATGTTCCAGCTCTAATATGATCTAATTTTATGCGGGGAAAAAAGTAGGGAAAATTTGAGCTTCTAGAGAGTAGGAGCTATAGTTTTGTATTTCACAGGGCCAAGGAAGAGTTGCAATGTGTTTCATTTTAACTCCTTTCAACGTATTGACTGCATCCAAGAGGGGTCTGAGAGGGCGATGATACAGAGTTTTGAGATTCAAGCTGGTCTAAAACCTGTCAAGGCTGGAGACATTTAGCTCCATTCATGCTAGCTCCACACGGAGTATGACCACAAATCTACATTAATACTAATAACATTGTGCCCCCTAGAACTCCCCAGAGTCTGTTGAAGTTCTGTTTGAAGTGATTTTTTTGAAGGTTTTTTTTTTAAGGTTTTATTTATTTATTGACACAGAGAGACACAGCGAGACAGGGAACACAAGCAGGGGGAGTGAGAGTGGGAGAAGCAAGCTTCCCGCCGAGCAGGGAGCCTGATGCGGGGCTCCATCCCAGGACCCTGGGATCATGACCTGAGTGGAAGGCAGATGCTTTTTTTTTTTTTTTGACAGAGACAGCGAGAGCAGGAACACAAGCAGGGGGAATGGGAGAGGGAGAAGCAGGCTTCCCGCTGAGCAGGGAGCCCGATGTAGGACTCGACCCCAGGACTCTGGGATCATGACCTGAGCGGAAGGCAGACACTTAACGACTGAGCCACCCAGGCGCCCCTGAAGTGATTTTGAAAATCAGAAGCCATACGTGTTTCCCAGCAGGTCCTCACCCCTCTGTCACTGGGTTGTCAGGGTCAGGAATGGTGGAGTCTTGCCTCAAAGGTGGAATAATCTGGGGGCCTGGGTGGCTCAGTAGGTGAAGCATCTGCCTTTGGCTCAGGTCATGATCCCAGGGTCCTGGGATCGAGTCCCGCATTGGGCTCCCTGCTCAGCCAGGAGCCTGCTTCTTCTCCCTCTCCCTGGGCCCTGCTTGTGCTATCTCTGTCTCTCTCTCAAATAAATAAAATCTTAAAAAAAAAAAAAGGTGGAATAATCCATAATCCTCCCACCTAGTCCAACAAGCCGAGTCCTTCCTCTCAGTCCATGTTGGTGTAATTGGCATGAAATTCCCCGTTCAAGTGGAACAGATCTTGAGGTTTGGACAAATGTGAGTAAGAGCTTTGTTTTTGAAAGGGGTGCCGGATGAGTCCAGACTAAGAGAACAGAAGCTATTGAATCTGCTAGGTAGGACTTCACTGTCTTCCCGCTTCTTGTCCCCAAGAGATTCAGTTACTGCTGGGGCCCTAGAGGTGTACAGAAATACAGAGTGAAACAGAAACGATGCCTATGTGCCTCCGCTATTTTGGGGGGGAGGTTGGAGCTAAGTTGTCTTTATTCTCCTCTGGCCTCTGCTTCTATTTTGTTTTATGCGTGGGTTGTTTTTTTTTTTTTAAGATTTTATTTATCTGTTTTAGAGAGACAGAGAATGCGGGAGTGGGGAGAGGCAGAGGGAGAGGGAGAGAAAATCTCAAGCCGACTCCCCGCTGAGCACAGAGCTCCACGCAGCGCCTGATCCCAAGACCCTGAGATCATGAGCCGAGCCGAAATCAAGAGTGGGACGCTCAATCAACTGAGCCCCCCGGGCGCCTCTGCTTCTACTTTGCTTTAAGTAGAGGTCAACTGGTCCGTGGTTCGGTGCTCACAACGGTCGCGGCCAAAGCTGACCCCGGGCTGCATCCCTTGGGCATATGGGTCTGTGTCCTCCGACGCTCCGCTGCTTCCAGGTCCTGCCTGGCCTCGGGAGCCGGGAGTCAGGATGGTCTCATCCTCACCATTTAGCCACAATCAGTCCCTTCCCTCCACACGACACGGTTGACATCAGTGCGTTTCCCAGACATCGCTTCATCTGACCCTGACAGAAATGCCCTGGCGTTGAGAAGGTAGATATTGCTCTGTCTGCTTCTGTCCATTAGGATCCCGAGTCTGTCCAACTTCCCCATTTCATGCCAGGCTTTGAAAATGTAGCTGAACCCTCCCAACAGTGGCCCAAGGAAACTCCAAGGAAACATGAAGGATTCAGTCAAACTGGTTACTTGGCATCCTGCAGACCACTGTTTCCCAATCTGCAAGCATATCAGGGCATTTGGTGCGTCAGGAAGACGCCCTGGGTGGTGCCACAGCTCAGGGTTTCCTCATTTCCATGGGCTTCCTGTCTCTGTTCTCTCTAGCTTCTAACTGTCACTGCAACCACATCTCGTTCTTCAGCCTGAAGTCACGTGCAAAAGTTTAGAGGTTCCTAATCGGTGCAGACTCTTCAGGAGCAGAGGATGCTCACCGAACAAGGTAAGGTCAAGAGCTATCACAAGCGGGAGGCGGGTCAGATGCAAGGGCGCTGCTGGGAGGCTGCCTGCCTTCCGGACCCGCTTCTGGCACCTGTGGGCTCTGTGACCTGGGCAGATCTGAAATCTCTCTAAGCTTTGGTTTTTTTCATCAATAAAGTGAGGATGATAGGACCTACTTCACAGAGTTTCTTTGAGATTGAAATAACACGCCTGAGGCATTTAGAAACATTCTCTGGGCAAGCTTAGCACTCAGTAGATACTAGTTGTTACTAGTTTTAACAATGTTTTCAATTATATGACATTTGCAGATAGATATGAAATCATCTTCAACCAGACAGCAAATGCATGGAAAGCTATTTAAAATCTTCAGAAGTAAAGCTCTAAATTTGATGTTACTTTCTGGCTCATTCTCCGAGTAGGAAAAATGGTGAGAAAGGGCTGACTGTGTCTACTGCTTTATAGGTCCTTTGATCCTTCCTATAGCCCCGCCGGGTAGGTAACATTATTCTAATTTCGCCTACAAAGAAACCAAGAAACAAAGCTGCTAAATAACTTGCCCACCATCAGAAATCTTGGCGGTGGTGAGGCTGGACCTCAACATCAGGTCGTGAGGGGGGGGTCACAAGAGGGGTACCCTGGCCTGCCTTGGAAGAGGTGCTTTTAAGCCACGCCAAGGAAGAGAGTGCATATTCACATGTGCAACCTGCCCCACTGGGTGTCCACAAGAGAAAGAATCCGGTCACTGGAAACCGATCGTCAGCTTCTCTGCTCACTGTTCTTGTTTGTTTTGTGGGAAGCCGGTTAGAATAGAGAATAACACCCCTTTTCCTTTTGCTGGGGCTTTGGACACCTGTCCTCTGAGTCTTCGGGTACCCTAGCAATTTGCAGGTGAGCAAAGACGTAACATCACTGAAAACCTTCGACGAAAGGACGACCCAAACAAAAAGGCTTGGTACTGGATGAAATGTCTTGCAGAAGTGAATTGGGTCAAAGCAGTTTCTATGTGGGGAAAGGATTCCCATGCTCAGAGTTAGCTCCCTGCGTTTGCTTCCTTCCACACTTTCTCAGCGTTCCTAGGATGTCCGTCCGGTTTTCAGTAGGGCACTATTTTCCTTTCTTAAAGCAAAGTTGTTGTATAAAATTAATCTGTGATTATTAAATGTCTTACGTCAGGCGTTCCCACGATGTGGCTGATTTTAACAACAACCTGTTGTTTGATCTGTGGAACTTTAAGTGCTGGTAGATTCTTTAATTTGGAAAAAGAAGCGAATCCTGAAGTGTGGATGAATATTGTAAGTCATGCCTAGTCCCAAAGGACATCACATAAGGCACATGAATGGTCTTGTGATAGCAGAGAGTCTCAGATAAGGGAACAGATAAAATGTAGGTGGCGTTTAACATTTCTCTAAGAGTGAACCTAGGGAGATCTCCCCTTTTGGCTGAGTAAATAATATTTTCTAGTAATATAAAGCAAAAAAGAATTTATAGGCCACCTCCTCTTTTGAATTTATATTTTAAAAATATTAAAATGTCTATTTTAAGCTATTTGGATAATACATATAAATGCCTTCTACCAAACCATAAGGGGTCTCAAGAATCAACTGGAGAACATAGTTCTGTTAGAAAATACTAAATATTATCTCTACCCAACTACCCACCCCCAAACTTGCCAATAGCCGACATTTTTTAATATTCTGCTAATTTTTTATCAAGACTTCACATAGTAAATTGATTTTACAGTTACCTGGGGCTACAGATTTCAGATAATTCACCCCGATAAGCACACACCAGATGCTTTGTTCTAGTTCCTTCCTATCACCTCTGGAGAAGATGTTGAGCTAATGTCTGTGTTTTTACCTGGCAGAGTGAGATCATCACCTACAATGGCTACCCCAGTGAAGAGTATGAAGTCATCACTCAGGACGGGTACATCCTCAGCGTCAACAGGATTCCTCATGGACGAAAAGATGCCAGGAGCCCAGGTAAAAGATGTTCTCTCCTGCAAAGGAGGACAGCAGATGGCTACAATTTAGTGTCGGCTTTCCATTAAGAGAACGACTGGTTTATCAAAATCGATGGACTCTTGGATTAGTCTTTAAATAGTTAACAGGGAGTCTCATTTTTTTCCAATTCTCTGAAGACAGTCAAGAACCTAAAAATACGAAAGGCAAGACAGGTCTTGTTGACAGCGAGCAGGCCTGCTTGGTCGGGGTGTAAATGCAAAGGCGGGGCCAACATTTCTTTCGTTCATGACTGATTTCTCATGTGGAATATTGCTGCATCCCAGGAAAATGGATTTCCTCACTTGCAAAGAGATTGGCTGGGTTGCATGAAGTCTCTCCTGCCCCCTCCAGAATCAATAAGCCTCCGTCTGCAGCATTAAAAAAAATCAAATTAAATGACCCTGACATTTCTGAAACCTTTTCCGGGAAGGAAAACTAGAACATTCTTCCTATGTTTCAATCGGAGGGACGGAAGTTTTGTGGGAGGAAAGAGCATGGTGTTAATAAGGCCTGAATTCTAGCATGAAGAGCCAGCCGTGCAAAAGCAGAGAAATTACTCTTTCAATAGGGACATGTCACCGCAAAGCTCAAGATGAGTGAGGAAGAGAGAAGCATAAGCAAAGTGCCTGGGAAGTTTGGGGGGCAAATCCTTACCTGTCACTCACCATCCCCCCTGCCATTCCTATTCAGAGGTGGCTAAAATCGCCCTGTTTGACTTTCTCTCCTCTAAGAAAGAAAGGCGTAATCCTAGAGATTCAGAATGAAGACCGAGAGCGGGATGTAGGTGGGGGTAAGAGACCAATGGGAGACAGCCAGTTGAAGTTGAGTTTCAGATCACTAACAAATCAGTTTCTCGGACAAGTTCCACTTAGAATGTACTTATACAGAAATTGTTCATCCTGTATCTCAAATTCAAATCAACAGGACATCCTGAGTCTTCTCTTAATCTTCACTTTCATTTTTTTTTGCAAAATCTGGCAACACCAGCCTTGGGGGTTGGGGGCTAGGAGCTCTAAAAGGAGAGCATTTTTTTCCAGGAAAAGTTTTACTTAAGAAGGGAGAATTTGGGGAAGGTTTGGAATTAAAAACCATTGAATAAGTGTATTATTCTAAAAGCTTTACATTAATTTATATCCAATAAACCTCTCCGCATCCCTAGGAGGTCGGTGCTAGGAATAGTTATCATTTTACAGATGATGAACCCGACCAGGCTCTGTAAAATGCTCAAAGTCACACACATAGCAAGTGATGGAATTGGGATTCAAACCCAGCCTGGCTCCAGAGCCCATGGTCTTACCCACTAAATTATGGTGCCTTTTTGGAACCTTCTGCGTTGGTTCTCCTCATCTCCCTGAACACCTTCTCCCTCAGGAATTTGACAGTTGTCAGGGGGATGTTGAGCCGATTCTATTATATTTGGGGTTTTCAAATGCTCTCCGGTGGGCAGGGGCTGGGGATTTGGCTGGAAGCTTGGCGAGGAACCAGTCGTTGTCCATTTATGCTCTCCTCCTCCTCCTCCTCCCCGGAAGAGGCATGGGATTCCATCAAACACAATCATTTTCCTGTCTTTGCAAGTCAGACCCCAGAGAGAGGCAAAGGCGAATTCACAGAGCAGCGAGCTCAGTTACGAGCACCCACTTTGGTGTGAAACAGAACTGGGCTTTCGTCCTGGCTCTGCACCTTGTTAACTGGGTGGCCCCTTGGGAAAGTTACTTCACTACCTTAAAGCTCAGATTCTGCGTCTGTAAAATGAAGATCCTTAAAATAGTAGCTACTTATATCATAATAGAGGTATAATGAGAATGTAACAAGCTCATGGGTGTTCATCTCTTCATCTGTCAGCATAGCACCAGGTATAATGCATGTGCTCAAGAATCCTACGTGATTCTCACGCTCTACACGAATGACAAGGGGGAAGGTGAATGCTGATTTTGGTTTTTGCTTCTTCTGGTGTGGGGGGTGTGTGTGGGGGGGCGGTTCTATCATGTCCCTGAGATGCTCTATTTATCATAAATTATTCTCTCTCTTCCTCCCTCCCTCCAGGACCCAGGCCAGTCGTATATATGCAACATGCCTTATTTGCAGACAATGCCTCCTGGCTGGAGAATTTTGCCAATGGCAGCCTTGGATTCCTTCTAGCAGATGCAGGTTACGATGTCTGGATGGGAAACAGCCGGGGGAACACTTGGTCAAGAAGACACACAACACTCTCAGTGACTGAAGAAAAATTCTGGGCATTTAGGTAAATTGGATCTAAGAAAAATCATGAAGATAGTTTGAGGCAATTTCTTTGAATATAATAGTGTGGATGATGTTACTAATAATCTGTAACAATGGAAGTCACATAGTTCCTTGTAGTTCCTACTAATATCTCAAAGCAGAGAAATAGCAAGAAGTTAGATTTCCACTGATTCTCCCTCAAGCACGTTATATCATTTTAACATGATAATTTTAACATCCAATTCTATCCAATACTATACATCATAAGTCTGTCCCAAGGGACAGCTCAGGGAATTCCTATGATCGTTGCACACGTTCACTTAACCAGTGTTTGCTGACTGTCTACTGTATGTACAGTTCCAGCCCCTGAGCACTCAAGAGTGAGCAAAATACTTGCCCTCACGAAGCTTCTATTCATTCTAGTGCTGCTAATCCAGGTCTTTTCTCTTGGACAGGCCAATCAGTTTTGCAGAGATGATGTATACCAGTACTATATTTTATTTGGAGAAATTCTGGTTGAGACGGTATTGCATACCATTTTTCAAGAGAACTCCAAAATGAGGTCTTTAAAACCTTGCGAATGGGCAATGGAGAACAATGTTCTCGTATGGTGCCTCTTTGACCGAAAGTATTTTCTGCTTTCACCAGAGGACAGGCTGATGCCTGCAAGAGACTTCGCTTTTGCAAGGCTAAACTAGAACAGAGTGTGCATTCCTACCATATTAATGAAATAATGAAAAATACCCACTGACAGGTTGAGAATGAAGGAAGGGAAGAACAAATTGTTAGGGTCAAAGCTTTGGGGCAGGAACAAATAACAGGAAATATTTTGCCTCACTGGCCCTTAGCTGGGAGCTTGAAGCTTGTTTACTATAAGACATCACAAGAATTCTCTTATACGCAGGAGTGTCAGCCTACAGATTTCCTATTTCCTCACATGTCCTTTTGATAAGCAAGCCTCGAGCCCATGGGCTACCTGGCTCCACTAAGTATTACGTAAGTCTTTTGGTTCTCCTGGGTTAATTCCAGTTGAACTGGGGCTATGGCATCTTGGTAGATATCGAACATATCTCTAATGCAGAAAGAAACAATAATAACAGGTGCACCTGAGTCATGATTTGACTGTCATCCAATCCCCTTAGCAGCCCTGCTCGAGAGCAGGTATTATGTCCATTTCACAGACTGAGCAACCTGAAGCTCAGAGCATTTAAGTAACTTATCAAGAGTTTCTCAGCTAGAATCATGATTTGCAACCAGTTCTGTTTCCAAAGCTGAGTATGAAATGGCCCGAAGGTCTGGAAGTGCCCTGTGGGTGTTTGAAGAAGAGGCAGGCAAAACAGGGGAAAGGGAAGGGCAAGAAGAGGAGAAAAGGTAGGAGTGGCCTTCAGACAGTACACACAAGTCTTGAAATCAGTCCTGCTGTTAGACTGTAACGCACATAAATGCGGCGAACAAAAGCTACGCTAGCCAACACGTGATTGGATAAATAACGAGATGCACTCTAAAGGAGTGACCGCCACAGAATTCTGTGTATAAGAAGTAAGTGAGCAGGTGCTCTGAGTTTAAACTTAGTAGCGAGTATTTATGAGCCCCCGTTTTATTTTGCAGTTTCGATGAAATGGCCAAATACGATCTCCCGTCTGTAATAGACTTCATTGTAAATAAAACTGGTCAGGAGAAGCTGTATTTCATCGGGCATTCACTTGGCACTACAATAGGTATGTTTACAAGTGTCAATGTTTTACAAGAGTCAAAGCCTCACAAGAGTTCACCTCTCAACTGGAACAGAATCACTGCCATTTACTGTGCCCTTAATTTTCCATCTTGTGCTAGACATGTTGTGCTAGTGTTCTACGTGGCTGTGAACCTGAATTTCAGAGACTGTGTCAGGCAAATCTTTTCTCCATTTCTGGTTACAACAGCACTTTTGTAATGGTGATATAATTTCCATGTGCCCCCAAACCAGAGTATTTCCAAAGAGTAAGTTTCTAGATCCCCTCTGCGCTAAAATAGTAAAGCCTAATGACATGAAATATCCCTGAAGGATGATAAGTATGTGTCAATCATGCCTTCCTCACAATCCATTTGGGATTTTAAAAAATAGTCAAAGGGTGAGCTTATACTTACATTTGAACGAATTGAAAATATATGATCACTTTTTTAAAAGATTTTATTTATTTATTTGAGAGAGAGAGAGCACATGAGAAGGGGCAAGGACAGAGACAGAGGGAGAAGCAGGTTCCCCGCTGAGCAGGGAGCCCGATGCCGGGCTCGATCCCAGGACCCGGGGATCATGACCTGAGCCGAAGGCAGACACTTAACCAACTGAGCCACCCAGGCGCCCCTACAGTCACTTTTTTTAGCTGAAATACAAAAGCATACATCCAGTGGGCTTATCTATTTAGCGTGCAATTTAATATTTATGGAATAGCAATTCAATTCAAACACTATACAGAACATTTTTAAAAGTTCAAGATCCAGCCCTCTGAAAATGTACTTCTTAGTGATTTACTAGATCTTTTAGAAAGAAATCAAAAATCCAGCTTCAAATAAAGATTTAGAGGAATCCATACTACGAATATTGTGAATTTGTTAGTGATCTTCCACTAAAATTTCTAACTTTAAGAACACAGATTCAAATCAGGTCAGTCTGCCTCCCCCCAGTGAGGGTGTTGGGCATGTGGAGAAACCGGATGGTTCAGGTATGACTTGAGTGGGGTCTAGAAAAGTGGGCAGGAGTAGATATGCCCTTATAGCTGATCTGCAAAGAAAACAGAAAATACCTGATCAGCATTGCTCTGCCTTGCATTTAGGGCATGAGTTTTTCAGTGAACATCCTCCGCATTTGGGGCAGAGCAATTTTGGTTATGTGGGAAGGACCCGCTCTAGACATTTAGCAAACCCATGCTCCAGCTTACACTATGAGTCAGTGCGAGCACAGAACAACTCACCTCCACACACTTCCAGAGATCTTCCCCGGGGAAGTATTATACCAGTATACCAGTTTCAGTCTTTGTTGGCTCAGCCAATTAATACAAAGTCTGTTCTTTTTCTGGCCAAAATGGTTTCAATGTTTCAACAAGAATTTCAGGAAAAAAAGCAAGAGTGTATGTGTGCGCGTGTGCACGTGTGCACGCGTGCACACACACAGTGGCAGGGTCCCGGGAAGGCATCCCAGGGAACCAAAACACACAGACACTCCACATACTTCCCCATGCAGCGCTGCTTGCCACCCTCCTCCTCATAGAGCTAGAAATGCGTGGTATGCTGTTGCTGAAAAGTCAGAGCGAATGGAGACAGCTGGTCCTTATCGGGACCACAGAGGACTGAGGGAAATCAGGGAACATTCTGGAGGTTGGCCAGCATCCAGTGAAGCACTGGGAGGGATGAAATTTCTTTGCACTGTGAGAAAAAACAACCGTGGGATCACTGGGTAATACTGCATGAAGCACTGATTGGTTCCTCTCCCGTGAACCAATTGTTTACTTCTGGAAGCTCTGTGACTCATGCTGGCATCTCAGGGTTGGCGGTAAAATGACAGAACTGCTAGCGCTTAGCCCATGTGGGGAGGTGGGGGGGGGAGTGGGTTGGGGGGGTGAAGCTCTCCTCAAGACCCCCCCGGCAGTGGCGGCTCAAGCAGCTTATCCCTCCCTCACTCCCCCCAACCAAGTCAAATTGTCCAGAATACGAGGAAAATGGACACGAGAGCAGAGAGGACTGAAGGCAGATTATCTTTGCTGAATAACTCAGAAGAGTTTCCCGATTCAGCCGCGGGATCATCGCAAGAGAGGGATAAGCTGTCAAAGCGGAGTCCTGCTCGTTAGTAGGGACATTGCCTCAGCATTTCTAATTTTTACAAGATTGTCTTGTCTCCTGTTCTCTTAGGGTTTGTAGCCTTTTCCACCATGCCTGAACTGGCACAAAGAATCAAAATGAATTTTGCCTTGGGTCCTGTGGTCTCATTCAAATATCCCACGGGCATTTTTACCAGTTTTTTTCTACTTCCAAAATCCGTAATCAAGGTAGGCTTCTCATTTTCGCCAAAATGTCTCTGAGGATCCCATTTTGGACCGTAGATCCTTATTATTGTAAAATCTATTACGAAGGGAAAGACGGAAAATAGGAAATTTACATGAAATCTATAGAAGCCAGATTCTGTGCTTTGTGTGTGTATGTGTGTGTGTGTGTGTGTGTGTATGTGCGTCCGTGTATGTTCATGTCTGCACCCACGTGCGTGTCTACGATTCCCACATACAACTTAACCATACTCAGCCATTAACAGACCTGAGTGTATATCAGAATTTCTAGTTAGGTGACTGTGATGTAGTTTAAAATCCACTCACAATTTTCTCATTCCATTCTGTTCCACTGGATAGGTCAATAAATTCACGATGCCCAGATGGAAGACATGATGTTGGATAAGCCTGAATAATACACCCCTTCCTGTAGGGGAGCTTGCTTTAATTTACCAAAGCTATGATCCCAAAACCTAAATGTCTTACAGCTCAATCATTCGTTCAGACATTTATTGGTTATTTTCCAGGGGTTGAAAAAGTAGTTTGGTTGCCAATTATGGATTTGGGACTTTATCCAACAAAAGTCTTTCTCTCTCTCTTTTCTTTTTTTCTGTTTGCTTTTTGTTTCTCTAAAAAGGTCATTGCCATGATAAACATAGTATTTTGGCAAAATTGCCTTTTTGATTTGGGGTGTCAGCTAAAATGAATTTTGGCACAATGAAATCAAGGAGACTGATAAGGGTCTCACAGTAATTCATACGTAAAATGAGGCCCTGGCTCAGGGTGAAGGGGTGGGAATGGGAAAAAAAATTATTTCTGAGCTAACACAAGGATGAATTTCCATAGAGCCTAATGATTGGTTCCAGAGTTTTATTGTATTGTTTACTATAAGCTCAAGTGATGCAATTTCTCTTTTGTGTAGTTGATAGTTCTGTTGCCAGAGTGTGTTGACACCCGTTAGTTTGGGATGTTTTCTACATTTGGGCAGAGTTGAGCAGACAAATTACTTATATTACATTTGGAGGTAGACACATCTATCTCTAAATACATCATTTTTACATTTTATATCTTACATATATATGGCTTTGCGGGCATAGGTGGGGTCTGAGGCTTATCTCAATTCATATTACCCGCTGTCAGATTTCCTGTCACTTTCAGTCCCATTCCCTGACCCTTCCCACCATTCCTGTCTGTGGTCCCCAGAAGCTCCAATCCTCCCATCAGAGAGCCCCACCCAAGCTTACTCTCCCAAGCCCTAGAAATTTTAACTGTGCTGTGTCCCATTATGTCAAGTATTTTCTGTCCAGTGGCCCCCTCCCCTCAGTACTCCATGGTCCACTTTCCAGCCCAAGAGCTGGCTCCGCTGGGATGCTGCTGAAAAGGTCGTGTGCACATGTGTAGTAGGGGAAACCTTGCTTTTCCTTCCTAGTCAAGGCAATATTTGGCCTTAAGGAGAAACTGCTCTGCCTTCCTTGCCAATTAATGAGAGGTAAGAAACATAGGCAGTCAGCAACTGGACAGAATAGGGGAGCTTCACCATGGAGAAGCAAATTTGGGGCTGAAGAGCCTTACTGCAATCTCTTTTTAAATTATGTTTGTTGATCTTCCCTGGATAGAGATGGGTTCATAAATAGTTCTTTTCCCAAATGACTTAGTCTCCTTGGCAGAAGCAGCAAATACAAGTGGACATAGATCTCCAAGAATCCTTATTCCTGGGTTGAAGGGAATGTCAAGAAGCCTGAAAACAATTCTTGAAAGGATAATTACTGTTTATTTTTACAGGGCATTTTTGGTACCAAAGGCATATTTTTAAAGACGGGAAGGGAACCTTCCCTCAAACTCTGCAACAATAAAATATTATGGGTGATATGTAGTGAACTCATGTCCTTATGGGCTGGATACAACAAGAAAAATATGAATACGGTACGTATAATGATTATGGGACCATTTCCAGCTTTTCTTTGACTCACCTTGATGTATCTATTACACTGCATAAACTAACATGGTGTTCTAAACTGTAAAGGAGGAGATTTGCTACGCATAGACTGGGTATTCAATGGACCATGAATGTGAAAACTGGGGGATAGAATAGGTAGGTTCATCTTTCCATTCCTGGTCATATTAGGAAAACAGATGTCCATCATGGGTAGGAGTGTCACACATTCCCTATCAGCCACCCTTACTATAGTCAATTCGATTTCACAACGAATACCATGCATTTAAAAAAAAAAAAAAATCCCAGAAAAGAAGTCCAGATGAGCATTGAACTTATTTCCTGTGTGCCTTCGTTTGTTGGGTGACTTTGGCCTCAGATAAAACTCCCCACTTAACTTGGAAGGCACAAAACAGAATGGAACGGAGTTAGAACCCCTTTCCCACAAAAGAGGAGCAATCCTATTTCATCAACTCTTTGCTTCCTGTTAGGGAGAATTCAAGGAGGAGGAAGAGTGTACCCGTGCAGGGTAACGTGGTTGAATAGCTAGCTCTGTCACATTCCACATGGCGGCCAGTGAGGCTGGTACAGTGAAGCTAGTCCCCAGATGGCTCTTCTCTGCCAGCCCACCCTACCCCTATTCGAGACGTGTAGTTGTGCCAGACCGAAATACAAGAGGAACCATTGTTCAAAGCCTGCTTATTCAAAAGTAAACATTTTTAATAGTTCCCTTGATTACTTTCGTTCTACGGTGTTCTAAGACGTAGGATTCCGATTACTAGTATATCTCTATAATATTCATCTCTACGTTGTTTACAAAGACCGAAGCACAGCGCCTAGGAAGTGATTATATTTAGCTTTTCTTCCGCAATATTTTATCTTATCCTCACAAAAGCCTGGCACAGTATGATTTTTAGTGTGTTCATTTAATAGGCGAAAATACAGAAACTCACAAGTTGCCCAAAGTCACAAAGCTTATAATTAACAGAGTTAAGTTAACGCCTGGGGGGCTCAGTCATTAAGCGTCTGCCTTTGGCTCAGGTCATGATCCCAGGGTGCTGGGATCGAGCCCCGCATCGGGCTCCCTGCTCCGCGGGAAGCCTGCTTCTCCCTCTCCCACTGCCCCCTGCCTGTGTCCCCTCTCTCACTGTGTCTCTGTCAAATGAATAAATAAAATCTTAAAAAAAAAAAAAGAGTTAAGTTCTGAAGCCCAGGTGTTTTGACACCCAGATCTGAGACAGGGCACACCCACGTGCATGTGCACAGCACCCCCCTCCTTGCAAATTATCCCACGACTTCTGAGCTGGTGCACGTTGGCTCTCAAGAAATCCATGACCTGACATGAGCTCTTATTTACCTAGACGATTAGGCCTTGTCATTTCCCAAACCCCAGCTTTGGTTTGCTACTTCTTAGCACACTTGTTCTCTGCTTCTGGGAGGTATACTTTTTTTCACTGGGTGATTTTTGCTAGAGTATGTTTTATTTCCCCTCAGAGTCGAATGGATGTGTATATGTCACATGCTCCCACTGGATCATCGATGCAGAACATCCTGCATATAAAACAGGTAGTGTCTTTGTCATGGAAGACTCTTCCAATCTTATTTCGGTACATCTGAAAGGAGAGAGTTAGCAGGTCTACCCTAAGAAGGTTCGAAGCCGGCTTCTATTTTGTCTCTGTCACCATCTTTGGTTTGATTTCCCCAGATTTGAAGGGAAAGGACAAGGTATGGTACAGACCAAGCAGGTGACATAAATGAACCCAGTCTTAGATTGGAGCTTGTAAAACAGAGCCTGAGCTGAAGCAAGAGGTAACCAGGGAAGGCCTCAGGTGATAGAACCTTCCCGGGAGAGAGAACTATCTGAGGTTTGACTTCCCCCTAAGGAGTCGTGATTTCCCATTGGCTGTCCCCCTTCAAACCAAGGGAGACCATTGCTTCCCTCTCTGTTGGCCTTGTGCTTCTAGTGGTAAAAATGTATTTATATCCTTCTGGTGACCCAGAAAGCTTTATTTTCTTCCCAGTGCATAGTGGTTTTCTAAGACTTACTATAAAAATTGTGATTCTTACTCTGATTATTTTTCCAAAAAACATGTATTTCAGCTTTACAGATCTGATGAATTCAGAGCTTATGACTGGGGAAGCGAAGCTGAGAACATGCGTCACTATAATCAGGTGAGCTACTTGGAATGGCCCCAGAAGGGTGGCTTTGAGACATTATAATAAGAAATTAGGATGACTGGGTAGCTCAGTTAGTTAAGCGTCTGCCTTCGGCTCAGGTCATGATCCCAGGGTCCTGGGATCGAGCCCCGCATCGGGATCCCGGCTCCGCGGGGAGCCTGCTTCTCCCTCTGCCTCTGTTCCTCCCCCTGCTTGTGTTCCCTCTCTCTCTCTCATGCTTTCACACTCTCTTTGGCAAATAAGTAAATAAAATCTTAAAAAGAAAAAAAAAGAAATTATTGGAAAGTGAAAAGAATCCTGCCTGACAGTTAGTGGCATTCTCACTGATAGCGCTTTTTAAAAAAGGACTAATTTAAATATGCATTCATTGCAGAAAACCTAAAAATAAATAGAATAGAAATAAAAGAAGGATAGCTTAAGGAATTCTAATAATTTATAATCCCTCCATCCAGAGAACACTATATGTATCAGTATTTTACTGCATTTATTCCAATTTTCTCAGTACCACTGCTTTCACACAATTTTTAATCTTGCTTTTTCATTTACAGTTACACAAGACCTAGCCAATGCTACTGAGGTGGTTTGTAACATAATTTTTTGACAGTATAATAATGAAAATTGTTTCATAAAAATCTGTAAAAATGTACAGAGAAAATGAATACCCAGTTCTTGATGTCAACAGAAAAAAATACAGGATCCCACATGAAAATTAAAAGAACACTACATCAAAAATTAATGATGTAATGTATGGTGATTAACATAACATAATAAAATAAAATTTAAAAAAATTAAAAAAAAATAAAAAAGAATATTATCCACCCATGAAGAGTTAAGCCTTTAGCATCTTTTTGCCTTCTGAGTATTCACACTAGAATTTGGAGACGCATTTAGCCCTCCTGTACCTGTGGTAAATCCTGTTGCCACCATTTCTTTTCTCAAATTCAGGAGCTGGGCTTCTCAGTATGAGGCACACACATTAAATTAAATTTTTCCAATATTTTCCCAGACTGATATATTTAAGGCTATTTATTAGTGCAAATATAGATCAATTAAGTTGTTTCTGAGCATCAAAACAGTCAATCAGAGCAGTCAATTTCTCACTAATGGATTGAATTGTTAGACAAATGATTCTACTAGCTCTTAGGACAACTAAGAGAGCTATGTATATTTTTATTATTTTTTAAGCTTGATTAAGGTAGAATTTACATACAATAAAATTCACAAATTTTCCAATTCAATGAGTTTTGGCAAATACACTCATTCCTGTAACCAGGCCACAATCAAGATATAGAAGTTTCCACTACCCCCCAAAGTCTTCCCCTGCCCCTCAGGCCATATATATTCACAGATGCGTTTATTTGCAAATGCTTAGAATAGGGCCAGGAAAAAAAAAAACAAAACAGCAACAACAGAAGTTAAAAGAATTGTCTTCAGAGAGCGGAAGAAAGGCAGACTGAACTAGGGGAACCGGAAGGAATTAAGGGAATGTGAAGGAATCAAGGAGGCTCTCAGTTTGGATTTGACATACTTCTCTTTTCTTCCATTATTTTTAATGAGCATATTTAATTTATATATTGTTTGCGTTTACAAGAAAATGAAACAAAAATGTCACCCATACACTTAGGACCATTGTTAGTCAAACTCTTGCTTGTTCAGCTTTTTTGAGGCAAAATTGACAAATAAAATTGTAAGATTGAAGGATACAACGTGCTGACTTAAATATATGGGAGTGTCAGTGTCCTTAGAATTTCCCAGTGGTTAGCTGGTCCAATCTGATCCTGTCTGCTTTGAGTATGATTTTGGGTCACTTGAAGTCAATTTTTATTATATTCTGGCCTCATTTATTCTGGCCTTATTTATTATTTATTATATTCTGGCCTCATTACTTTGCCGTCTTCCTAAGTTCCCAGCACAATCTTGGTGCCCACTGCATTTTATTGAGAACAAGGAGACTAACCCGTGTCAGCTCCACGAGGGTAGAGATTTCCTTCTGTTTCCTTCACCAGCGTTTTCTCACCGGGCAGAGGACCTGGCACTTCCTGAGCCCTTAATACTTACTTGTTGCATGAATGAAATTTCTTGATAGCCCTTTTCTCCATCTTAAAATGACTCTGTCCCCTTGGTGTTCTTCTTCCTTCCTCTCAGAAAATGAATGCCCACTTATTTCCCAAGTTTGTGCGCCTGTGCCCTTGGCCCCATCTCTTCTCATCTCCTCTTCCTTTTGGCTCCTCTTACCCCTTAAATGAATTGCTGTTCCTTATGAAACAAACAAACAAACAAACAAACAAAAACCTTCCGTCAACCTACAGATTCTGTCGCTCATCATTCCGTCCTCTGATTTCAATCAACGTTTTTTAATATTTAAAAGGGCTGAGTTTCTCCACTTCTTCCCTTCCTCCACTCACTCCTGAACCCTGGAAAATGTAGTTTGGGTCTTCATCTTTCTATTACAGCTACTTTATTTAAAGTCGCGGGTGGTTTTTGATTGCCAAATCCAGTGGCCTGTTTTCGCCTTCAGATGTATGTTCTGTGAGGTGGCACAGCCCCTGTACCATTCACTCCCTCAACCCGGACTTCCACGATGCGGTGATCTTGAGTTTTCCCTTCCCTTTTTGATTGCTTCCTTCGTCCTCCATTGACACTGTCTGCTTTCTAGCTCCTCCACTCACAAATTGTCAGCCTTCCTCCAAGATTCTTCACACCTCTCTCCCTTTCTCCCTTGGAGAATGTAGTCATCCCCAAAGCTTCAATTATCCCTTCTCTGGACCATCCCTAACTGTGTGTCTAGATTGTTTCAGGATCTACTGCCAGCCTATTCCTTCCTCAAGGCATCCCAGACTGATGGCCCTACAGTCACCCTAAGACAGAGCTCTGAGAAATGACCCTGCTTCATCCCCCCAAACTTCCAAAAGATGTCAAAATACCTTGGCCTAGACCTTGACTGTCTGTCTCCAATCTTATATCCTACTGCATTGTCTCACACAGTTTCTTCCCTGGGTTCACTGGAGAGCTTGCCAGCCTGACCATGGTGTACATGCTCTGGCTACCCTCTAGGAAGCCCTCCCACCCTCATCCCTATCTGGTAAAATCCAACTGTCCCTCAAGAGTCATTTCAAATAACTCCTCTTTCTAGAAAGCCCCTGGTCAGAAGTTGTTTCTTCTTTGCCTTCAGTGCCATTGTATTTGGGGGGTGTTTCGTGGCATGTGACATACTCTACTTTGTAGGCAAACGTTTGTTGGCTTATCTTGCCTTGTTCCTGGCATACTCCTTGAAGATACGGACCATTGCAGGCATTCTTTCTACTTCCCTCGGTGCCTGACAGAAATGTGTTCATAGCCAATGCTCATTTAGCAGCCCCTCTGCGTACCTGAACCCAGTTGTTGTAGTGAGGAGCTTTCTCTCTTGAACGCTCTTTCTCGCTTTTCCGTAGAGCCGTCCCCCGCTCTACGACTTGACCACCATGAAGGTGCCTACTGCTATATGGGCTGGTGGCCATGATGTCCTTGTGACGCTCCGGGATGTGGCCCGGGTAATCCCCCAAATCGGGAACCTCCAGTACTTCGACCTCTTGCCTGACTGGAATCACTTCGATTTCATCTGGGGCATGGACGCTCCTCAGCGGATGTATAGTAAAATCATAGCCTTGATGAAGTCATACTCCTGACTGCAGCACATCTCCATCTTGGTTCAAAGTTGCTTGCCAGCCCATGGGAGGCTTTGGGAAAGAGACTGATCAGCAGGGAGGCCTTCTCCGGTGTCTTTCACCTTGTTTGCTTGTTGCTGAGGGGCTCCCTTACCCGACATCCCGGCTCGGAATTATTTCAACTGTGTTGTTCTTAGCTAAGAACCCCACACGCCTGAAATCTCCAGTCTCTTCCCCTCAGTCAGGGGTAAGCCCAATTTTTCATGTCTGCGAAATATGCACTTCGGAGAGTAGTTCAAAGAGGTCTTTTCCTTTCCTAGTTAAAGTCAATTTCTTAGAAGGAAAGACTTCATTTGAGAATATATTTTGGGTGGCCGTGATCATATGGCCTACTAGAAATCACGGTTAGGTGGTCATCTATAAACAGGCCATGGTCATCTATAAACAGGCCATGAAAATAAGCTCCGGCCCACATCCAGCATGAAAAAGAACAGACCGCTGGAAAAGCTAATAAAATTGAAGTATTCCAGGAGCCCACTTTACTGTTATAAGCTAGAAAAAAAAGAAAGAGACAGGCAGACAGACAGACAAAACTGGGAATGACTACGTAGGATATGCTGAATTACTGATTATTTTGAAGTTACAACACATGAGAAATAATTCTGTCCCACCTTGCTCTAAAGATAAGTTACACTGATCACCGGCAGTGTTTTCATGGTCAAAGGGGAATTTATACTATTGCTTGCACCCAAGTGACATTTAAAGCATCTTCCAGAAAGCCTATTTTAGAAGCGGCAAGGGAGGCTCTAGGAATATTGCAAGTCTTGCTCTGTTTCATTCTCTAAATGATGCCAGACCTTGATTTTAGGATTTAGTATGGAGTTCCGAGAGGAGCGTGAAGTTTTGTGTCTGTTTCTGGATTCCTGAGTGGTGGAAACTTGCAAAAGTTCTTTACCTTCTATGAAGATGTCATTAACGGAAAACTCTTTACAATCCTCAAGGAATCATAAATAACTGGTACACATACATACCTCCCACAGTTAATTTTAAACAAGTAAATGTAAATTAGCTCCCTAGTATTTGCATGGAGGACTGGGGTCTCTTGGATGTCAAATACCACATAATCATTCTTTAATAAATAATTCATACTTCATCATCTTTAGTTTTCATGTCTTTCAAAGGAATAACAATTTTAACACACTTGGGAAGCCATTTTAAGTACAAATCCTTCCATATTTGTATAATTTTTATTTATCAGGATTAGACTGTCTCAGTTTGTTTTTAGTGACTTTTAGAGAGCTCTTCGAAGAGTGGAATGTAGTTTTCTTTTTTCTTTTTTTTAATTTAAATTCAATGAGCCAACATACAGCATATCATTAGTTTAAGATGTAGCGCTCAATAATTTATCAGTTGCGTATAACGCCGAGTGAAAATGTAGTTTTCATGCAAACAGTACAGTCTTTTAAAGTCACATTTAACCAAATTAAACAAAATGCATTAAATAATATAACTATTATAACAGACAGAACAGGCATAAGTTAAGTCTGAGAACAAATATCTAACTCTTGGTAAGCTTAGAGTTCAACGGGAACGAGTGGAAAGATGTGGCCATAATAGATTAGCTTATTCGTTATGAGTATTTAAGAGGCATTGGACATCCAGTTAAGATGCCTACAGAGAGAAAAGAGGCATTGGTTACTATAGGAATCGAGTTAAGTGGAGGTCAGTTGAGAGAGCTCCTGCAGGATTTGTCTTACTCGGCTATTGCTATAATGCTGTGTAACAAGCAAGCATGAGTAGCTCAGTGGCTCCCAACAGCGAACATTCCTTTTTCATGCTCACAGCCCTGCAGTTTGGCTGGGGTGGCTCTGCCTTGGGCTGGGATCACCAGGGCCTGGCTCGACCCGGTGGGTTGGGTCCTGGTCTGCTCCACAGGCCAGTTCGTTCTGGAGCTAGCAGCTAAGAGGACTCTGTTCTTCACAGGGTAGATCCCAAGAGCACAAAGAGGACTAGCTCAGTCATAGCAGCATGTTTACAGCTCTGCTGGGTTCACAGCTGCTCCTACACATGTCCCTGCTGCAGATCACCCAGCCGGGCCCGCCCCCAGAGGGGTGGGGTGGTCTGCCTTACCTACCGGGGGAGGCTGTAAACCACAGGACCAAGAATGCGCGTACATCATGCTGTGATGCGGGAGTGCAGAAGTGGGGAAGAATCCATTCTACCACGCACAGGTACAAGACTCAAAAGATAAAAATAGGGAATACAATAAAAAGTAAGTCCCTCTCCCTGCCTTCCTGGTCCCGCGGGCTCCCCTTCAAAGGCAATTCATTCTCACCAGTGTTTTTGAGTATCCTCCTATGGATTATACCATGCATATTCCAGTGGCTCCATAGATACTCACTGGGTTGTTTTTTTTTTTTTTTCACCGAACTATATCATACTATATATACTTTTTCACATTTTGCTTTGATCACTTAATAGATCTTGGAGATTTTTCTCAGTTCATATGGAACATTATGATAGACTACAAGGAATTTCATTATCAACAGAGATTCAGATAGATTAGGATCTTTTGTAATTATACACATTGCTGTAAAGAATATCATACAGACAGGGCAGGGCGCCTGGGTGGCTCAGTGGGTTAAGCGTCTGCCTTTGGCTCCGGTCATGATCCCAGGGTCCTGGGATCGAGTCCCGCATTGGGCCCCTTGCTCAGCGGGGAGTCTGCCGCTCCCCCCGCTTGTGCTCTCTCTCTCCAACAAAGAAAGAAATAAAATCTTTAAAAAAATCATCAAGCTATACCTTTGCAGTGTGTGCACTTTTTCTACTATATATGTTATATTTCAATAAAAAGTATGTTTTAAATACACTAAGCTTTTCTACTTAAAATCAACAAGCTATTAAGTACAGAAGAAAAGAACACTTTTTACCAATACCTCTACTTTTTTAATTTTTTGCTCTGCGTATTGTAGCAAATATATTGACTATGGTAATTCTGAGTAATAGTTTATTTTTTGCTAGGAGTTTTATAGAAAATATCTCATTTAAAACTTATAAGCCTAGGGGATAGAACTATGGTCACATGAGGCACAGAGAAAAATGAGATATAAAAGCCAAATTTTCCTCAGATTGCACAAGTGAAGGAGTCATGATTTTAATCCAGGATGTTTGACAGTATATATCTGTATAAATGTGTACAAATGGTATATAAATATCCTTGGGACACCCTTCAGAGAGTCCTGTTTATATTACCCTAGACCAGAATTACTTGAAAAATAAAGGCAAGAGATGAGAAAATGTTTTGGAGTGTTTTGGGGGAGGGGGGTTGTTGTGTTTTTTATAAACTTTAACCATCAAATTGAGATGAGAAGGTAGAACTACCCTATGACCCAGCCATCCTGCTTTTGGGTATATATCCAAAGGAATGCAATTCACTATCTCAAAAAGACATCTGCACTACCATGTTCATTGCATTATTCACAACAGCCAAGACATAGAAACCTAAGTGTCCATCAACAGATGAATGGATGAACAAAATGTGGTACACACACACACACACACACACACACACACACACACACAGAGTAAAATATTATTCAACCATGAAGGAAGAAGGAAATCCTGTGACAACATGGATGGAACTTGAGGGCATTCTGTTAAGTGAGGTAAGTCAGACAGTGAAAGATAAACATTGCACGGTCTCAATTATTTGTGGAATCTAAAAACATCAAACTCAGAAACAGTAGAATGGTGGTTGCAGGGCAGGGATGGGGGGAAATGGGGAAATGTGGTCAAAGGGCACAACTTTTAGCTAAGATGAGTAAGTTCTGAGGCTCTATTACAGCATGGCGACTAGTTAACAATACTGTAGTGTGTACGTAAAAGTTGCTGGGAGAGTGGGTTCCTGGGTGGCTCAGTCGGTTAAGCAACTGCCTTCGGCTCAGGTCATGATCCTGGAGTCCCGGGATCGAGTCCCGCATCAGGCTCCCTGCTGAGCAGGGAGTCTGCTTCTCCCTCGGACCCTCCCCCCTCTCATGTGCTCTCTCTATCTCATTCTCTCTCTCAAATAAATAAATAAAATATTTTTAAAAAAAAGTTGCTGGGAGACCTTTAATATTCCCACCATAACAACAAAAGAGTAATTATGTGAGACAAAGGATGTGTTAACTAATCTTATCTGTGGTAAACATTTCACAATATGTGAGTGTATGAAAATGTAAACTTACACAATGTTATGTGTCAGTTATATCTCAATAAAGTTGGATAAAAAATGTAGATGAGTAGATCACTAGTCAGGTCAACTGTAACACATTTTTCATCACTTTGTCCGAAATACCAGGATCACTTCCAAGTAAGCCTAGAATCTAGCAATCCACTGATGCGGAAACTTGGTTATAGACTTTGTAATATAAAGTTATCGAAAATTTGACAACGTTTCTCTTTTTCTTCCCGTTACATTTACACAAAGCTAGAAACTCATGGACCGCATAAAAAGACTCACTAGGGAACTATACTTTCTCAAGCCTGAATACCCCATTAATATTTTGTATAGAACAAGGTAAATTCATGACATTAATTTCTAATACAAATCCATGTCAAATGTAAAGTCTTTGGTGAGTTTCTTTCAGGAAGTATATTTAGTTTCAGAGAGGTGAAACTGGACTAAAATAATGGCTTTTTGAGACTTATTAATCCAAGAGCAAGGAAGTTATCTGACCATGCAGGGCCTTGGTCAGCTCTGACCACGTCCGCATTGTCCTCCTATGCCAAGCTCATCCACACCTTCCAAGGTCTGGCTCAAGCACCACCACTTCTGAAAAGATTTCCTTGAACTTGATGCCCCCAAATTAATACTTCTTCTTCTAAATCACTTTTAATGATGCTCCTGCATTATCTCTTTAGTCTATCTCCCTAATCAATTTTAAGTAGCTTGAGAGCAGGAGCTTTGTGTTTCTTGCCTTTTCACTTCTTAAAATCTTTGTTTTGAAATAATATAGATTGCTGTGAAATTGTAAAAATAGTACAGGAAGTTCCCACATACTCTTCCCTCAGTTTCCCCCCCAA